AGGATGGTATGTGGACAGCATTCCATCCAGGTGCCTGTGCCTGGCACCATTTCCTGTCACAGCTGCATCCCTTATATCGATACCTAAGTTCTTGGGGTAGTAATAGTTGAATTATGCCAACAATTCTAAAGGATAATCGACACTCATATCTAAACTGACCTGGTTTAAGAAAAGCGAATACAGATCCGCCACCACCAGCACCGGTCATTTTTGGATGGATACCATATCTAGCGAGGGTAGTGCAGATTTGATCCACTTTGGGATGGCCGACACCCAATCCAATCAGTAGCTGATTATTTATTCGACAGAGATCCTGAACAAAGAGCGATAGTAGTTCTTATCTCCCAGTCACATCTTTACAGCTGATATCGCCGCTTTCAGTCGGGGCTGTTTCAGGAAGGACGTAATGACCCCCCCCCCATCCGCGGCGTTTCCACAGCTGGGTGCTTTCTTTCCTGAATCGATCACCAACCGATCACCATTGGTAGAGCAAGGCAGCCGGAGGTGGGCTCGCTCCACCCCTCTTGACACCGCCCCGACTAATTGCGACGTTATCAACTATAGCTAGATCAGTTCTATGTCATTAAAGCCCTACAGCACTTCAACGGAACGTAAGCACAACTAAAAGCAAACAGAAGTACGCTAGGGTTAACACCGCTTCACTCGAAGTATTAGCTGCTTCCTCATCTAGAATACTTTTCCAAAATTGTTCTCATCTAAAAAGCAAGGACGCTTCGAGTAGCATTTGTGAGCAGCACCTTCTACACTGCTGATTTCTAACACTACTAGGTTTTCTCTAGCTATTTGAGCGCAAATTTCCTGAGAAAATTAATGGATCAGCTGTGCATGGCGCATTAACGTCTACTGTGTTTCGCCGATTCCACAAAGCAAACGGAGAAACGACATTGACGGAAGGTCTTTATGAAGACAGGACGCCGCGTGCGACCATACGACGTCGCGCGCGCAACAACCACTTACGTTAAGCTTGCTGAACGTGTCGACGAGTTCTCCTTTGTCTGATGTTGCGGAAACGGCAGAAGCCGAGCTGCCACGCTTGCCGCCGGCCACATACGAGGAGAACGTCGACGAACGAACGCTTCCGCCACGATTCGGCTGAAATCACGGAACGACACACCTCACAACGTAACCGACTCGAAGCGCTGGTCTGATATGTTCGAGATTGAAAAAGCGAGAAAGTGAGAGAAGAGACGAATTTAAAACAAAAAGCAGAGTATCAAATAGAAAAAAATGTACAAGTATTTGGGTAACATCATTTCCCTTAGCAAGAAAATTCCCGTCTATTGACATCCACCGTTAGGCTGCGTTCACTTTTTATGGCAGCGTTAACCAGCGTCTGCCGCGTCTACCAGCAACCACTAACATTCCGAGCGTCCGGCAGCTTCAGCGACTAGGAAAGTATAGATATCGATTCAGCGTCTTCCAGCGTCTACCAGCGTCTGTCAGCGACTGCCAGCGTCTCCACGGGTAGGGAAGTATAGGTGTCGATCTAGCCTCTAGCAGCGTCTACCGGGAGTATAGAGTATGGGGAAGTAGGATGGTAGAAAAGCGCATTAGGCGTCGTGAAATTGCGGCGTGTGCAACCGCACCGCACAACTGCTAAAGCACAGAATTATGCAATTTATGTGCGGTGTAGCGTAGCGTAGCGGTACGGTGTGGTTGCACACAGCGCAACTTCACGACGCCTAATCTAGATGTTTGCAACCCTCCTAGTTGACCTTATTCTCACTCCCAGTCGCTGGTGAACGCTGACAGACGTGATAAACACTGGCAGACACCAAATTCGATATCTATACTTTCCTAGTCGCTGACGCTGCCGGACGCTCGGAACGCTAGTGGTCGCTGGTGGACGCTGGTAGACGCTGGTGGACGCTGCCGCAAAGTATGAACGCAGCCTTAAATTTCCACAAATGTGATATAGAGAAATATGGCAACTAAGTAGGCTGTCTATGATGTACGCGAACAAGATAGATAAGAGCGAACACAGCTATTATAAGATCCCATTTTACCATATAGAGCAATTTCCCATAAGAATATCCTCAGAATTTGCGTTGCGCCGTTTCGTGGCTTGGGTGTGGGCACTTTTTGGCATTCCGCTACCTATCATATAGCAAACAAGCCATCAAGCAGTGCTCCGCTGCAAGATCTGTCAACATGAAGTCGATACAGGTCAAAAAAAAAGTTTGTAAGAAACACTTCTGTCAACTTTTGTTCAAACAATTAAGAACAATGCGGAAGTAGCGGAGAGAGCACAAATTCCTTCCCCTGTTCCCCTACCAATACAACGGGGCCGCCACTCCCTCACATTTTGAGCAAGCCCTCACAAACGGTTGTCACTTATCAGTCTTGAGGCAGAAGATTGCCTTGAGATATGGCGCTTCAAAAAATGCATTGAAAGCTTTCATACGTAGACTATGATTTAAGAAGTAAGCCGTGCTGCTTGCTTTCTCATGTTTTTTTTTTTCTTACAAACTTCGCAGGTCCTAAGAATTTTCCAGAGACCGCTCGCTTTAGGCCAACATTTTTTGAAGGCATAAGGCACGACGTAGTAGGGAAATGGAGAAGAAACGAAGTAGTAACGGTCGATACTTGTAAAATTCCCCTGTTCTACACGACTTACAAAGCAATTCCGGACGAATTTCCCTTCGACATCGCGCCAAAAACCGCTACGGTAGATACGGCCCCATGTATGCGCTCATATAATTATGCAGCACCGCAGCCGCTTCATATCAATCCCTTCGCTTCATGCTGTACTTCGCAAATGAAGCGATACGGGGCATTATCATGGGTGGGACATTTGTGGGCGGGCGGCGCGTGGGCAATCGGTATGTTGCAGCTTGATGGGGCGCTAGGGGGTAGCTTCTTTGGGGGTAGCCTCTTTGTAAGAGGCGCTACACTGCGCCTGCACAGGGGAGCCAAATTCTGTTCTGCTAGGCGTGCTAATCCTACAAGTCTTAGGGATTTATCGTACTTCTTGTCTTTAAATTCGTCTTTGGCGGAACTCACACTTCAGACGAAGTGAGCGTGGCTGCTTACTTCATTTCAACCGGGTTGAAAGAAGAAAGACTCCGCTTAAAGGCACAGTTCGCGACCGCAAATTGCGGGAAACGGAACTCAAATAGGCACAAAAAAGTGCTAAGTATCTGATTAGCGGAGAAAAGCAGCAGAAAAAGCAGTCCGAAATGTTATAGAGAAAGATAACATAGTGGCTACTAGCTAGTAGCTAGGGCCGGCAGGTGTCCATGGGCCTAATTAGTCAGCTTCTAGCGGAGTTCTTGCCGTTTTTCACATTTTGAAAGTAGCGCAGCCTCAAAAATCGCCTTCCGGATCGTCCGACACATTTGAGAGGTCATAGCCTTATTTTATCGCGGAATGTGCCTTTAATCAATCCCTTTGTGGGATGCGGCACGCATTCTACTTCCATTCAGAATCGTAGTGGCTTATTGAATGCGATGTGGCCTATACAATGACTTGCGGGGGCCAGCCGATGTTGTTATCTTCTCAGACGATTCGGCTACCAATTCAACGCCCGAGGGGGGGGGGGGAGGGCAAAGGACTTGATTTTCCATAGCGGGAGCCGTTCCGGGATCGGATTCTCAGACCATGCTGTAAGTGCCGCCACTCGCCACTACACCACCTCCGCCTCCAACAGGGTTATTGGTGGAATATTCCTAGTTGCGACCACTCTCAACCCTACGGTGTAGCCGCTTTTTTGAAGCGCACTCTTGAACGTTTCCGGAGCGCCCTCTGCCTTCAAGTCTGGTCCTCTCTATAGAACACCAAAACGCAAGTGTTCCCGAGAATGGAGTCATGGGTGTAGACTGTGAAGTTCTGCTTAATCTGCTAATCACTGGAATTTTTCTCATAAGGTAAAAGGTAAGTTTTGAGGGATGGAAATTCCATGTCTATTCGAGACGAGAAAGCCTTCTGAAAAAAGAGGGTTAGTTTCCACTCCATCAGTTGTCATTGATTCCACGTTAAACCCTCATGCAACAGTGGAACTCGCAAAATATTCTAGCTAATCATTGTTATTATGCTGTAAGAGGGGGAGGTTATACTCCAGTTCGCTGCGGACGAAGGGGCGTGTCAGGCAGTATGAGTGTGCCACGGCGCCAAACCCGTTCTCTGCCAGTTGTTGAAGCGGGTATGCGACAACAATTGGTAGAAAACGAGTGATACGAACGATATGATACAGTCTTGTCACTTGCTCGCTTCAACAACGGTGGAGAACGGTTTGGCACCGCGCCAAACTCATCCCGCCTGACACGCCCCTTTGACCGCAGCGAACTGGACGGTACGTGAGATGTAAAATGAAAATTGGCGAACAAACTGAAGTGATCGAGCTTCTGGAGTAGCTACCAAGAAAAACCGAATCTTATCGGCAGCTAGTACAACACCAAAGGTACATACTACGAGCGTACAAAAGCGTTAGGTAAGAGATCATGAAAGGAGCCTAGAATAGCGATAATTAGGACGTACCTGAAGTGAGTGATGGTCGTTGTCTGGCACGGCTGTGCCATGACCGCCATTTACGAGTTTATCCAACGTTTCGCCATTCTCTTCTGGTGGTCGATGCAGAATTTTGGCTGCTTCTCGTGAAATAGCGTCAATCGACGTGAAAATTCCTTCAACCACGTCGGGGAACTGGAAACAAGAACTAGTAATATTCAGAGATAAAACAACATTGCAGTAGCAAGGCCTTGTTGGCAATGTGCCCTCGGTGACAACTGCCTAGGAGAACTTTCCTCGGCGCTTTTCGGGTAAGGGCGATGGGAAGGGGTGGAGATGGTCCTCACCAAGCCAAATGGTGATCCAAAAAGATACTTCAAAATATTAATGCTTACATGACTGTGGAGTTGGGTCCCAGTAAAGTTAGCGAGTAATCAATTTATTTAATAATTCATTCAATCTATACGTCACAGGTGCGCCATTGCAACTCTTCGGCATTCGAAAAGCCTGTACTGGTATCAACACTGACGTTTAAGTGGACTTGCAATGATGGCAGCTACAGCCCTTCTTAACAGATTACCTACCATCCCGCTTCGAAGGCCTATGGCACGATACGTTGGTCCAAAATGTTAGCAGGGTGCTATATAGTGGGGAAAATGGCGAAAAACGAAGTGAAACGGTCAAAAACCTGCGAAGAAAAGCCTTCGTTCTTCATGACTCAAAAGCAATTTCGGACGAGTTTCCCGTAGGCATCTTGCCAATAACCGCTACGGTAGGTACGGCTGCACGTATGTACTCATATATCCATGCAGCACCGCGGCCGCTTCATATCAATCCCTTCGCTTCATATTTTACTTCGCAAATGAAGCAATACGAGCATCAGGTATGGTCGTCCATTTGTGGGCGCGGTGGGCGTCCAGGTCGGTATGTTGCAGCTTGATAGGGCCTTATAAGGGTACCTTCCCTGGAGAAGGTGCTACACAGGCCTGCTCAGGGGCGCGGAAATCCTGCCAGGCGTACTCATCCTACTTGTCTTAAACATTTATCGTACCAATTGCCTCTAATAACGCCACCTCTAGGGTTACAGTCATGTTCCCTACAAGCGATAAGGTGTGTGACGCGACGCATATCGCAGCGCAAGAAGGGCGTCCTTTTCCCCAATGATGCCATCCTGAGCACGCTACAGGTGTGGAATCGGATCTGGCCATTCCCCTATCAAAAGGCCTATCGTTTACAGGCATCATGGCCGCACTTCTCAGAGAATTATGCGTTTTGTGTTCTTTTTTG